TACTTGCATACAAATTTAAATTAATAAAAAATACTACATACTTCCCAGAAGAAGCACTGTTGTACGCTTGGGACGTTACTTCGAAGGGGCACATGTATAAGCGATTACAGATGCGTGTGTTAAGGGTTTATACATAGGGCGACTATTTAGTTCGTAAATTCGTCGCTACGTTGCGTTTTCAACAACATTCCTTCTCGCTTTTGACATCAGGATGTAGATATAGGAAATATCATGGAAAGCAGAAGGAAATCATACTTACCTGGCGTAGAGGCTACCGTGATCAAGAACGCGGTTCCTCCAGGGTGAGGCTCTTCCATTGCACTGCGGTCGAGCTGACCTCTGCGAATACCCCTAATGTGGGTATCTCGGACGTATAATTTTTGGTAGTCGGGACTGCGTTCGCGCTATCCCGGATGATTTATTGACAAAACTAAGTGGTTTTTTTCAGCAGATATGGAAGAGATATGAATAGCTTTTTTACTGGGGTTGTTAGAGATTAAAACGGTTTAAGAAATAACATCGAATTTTTCATATTTCAATTTTTACATAACCCTATTTCGTACTGAATTAAATTAATTAAGGTGTTAGATAGTTTTGTAATTAAACGAACTTAATGCGCTAGCGGTATTCGATATATGAAGACTATTTTCACAACATATAAAAGTGTTGGTATATGTTTAAATCGTTTTGCAAATTGTAGTTAATAATAATACAGTGGATCCTCGATAACTCGAACCTCAAGGGAAAGGAAAAAATCGAGTTTTTGAGTAAGAGAGGTCATTAGCAATATCCTTTTTTTTTTCTTGATCCAGTTTTTACTGTTTCAATTACGCTTATTTTATCAGCCAATGTTAATCTTTTCCGCTTGCGTTTAGAATTCATTTTGTTACATCTAATCCGGAGAAAAGAATGGGAAACGATAGAATTGTGCTTTAACTTATTGCTTCAATCTTTCACAGCAAACTGCTTTTGTTAACAAAATTCATGCATTGTTTATCTCTATAAAGAAAGAAATAATTGATGATCGTAGAACCGTTGATCCTATTGGATCGATTGACTGATATGTGGAAATAAATCGACTTGTAGAGGTCGGAGTTCTTTTGAATTCGAGTTGTAGAGGTAAAATACATATTAAATATGCGACAAATAATTCGAGTTAACGGAAGTTTTATTTCGAATTGTAGAAGTTTTTACAGCGGAGCGTATGGAAATGAAGGTAATTTTCGTCTTTAGAGGTTTACCAGTTATCGAGGTTCCACTGTATTAACTAACAACGACAATTATTTTTGAAAGGTGCATAAAAATAATTATTACCGTAACAGTTTCGTGCAGTTTATTATGAAAACGTATGAAAATATTCTTAATACAATTTATATAATTGAAATGAAATATTGCACAATATTTCAGTTTGTTTTCATAGAATTAATTAAATGTTACATTTAAGTGGAGAATTTGATATTGATATTAAGTTAATAAATAAATTTAATTGATAAACCTTTTTCATATGGTATAATCAAATTTTTTACAGTATACTGTATTTATTCTATTCTGCTTCTAATTGTTTCAATCTGTCACAAATGTTATCAAATATGCAGAAAAACAACGAGCAAATACAAACGTAACGAAGTAATGTTAAAAAATATAATTTTTAATGATATTTATTAATACAATTAATAATATTGTACAGTGCAACAACTACATACTTTGTATCAATTCAAATCACATACACATATTGAGGTAAGTATTTACATATGTACATACTTACATTTTTCTAAATAATTTACAGTTAACTTACATTACTTCCTTTCAAAATTTTCGAAGTTATACTCAATTCCGACTATAGCAAGTATTCTTCTAAAGGACAAAATTATTTTACATTCTAGGAATAGGCACATATAATGTATGTACATACATATGTACATATGTATGTTGAAATAATTTTAGCGATACAAGTAAATAATTTTAAGTGTTTCATATACTTATATTACCGACTATACCAATGGAAAATATAAACCTATTAATATTTTTTTTCTATGTACTAATTTTATTCAGTTGAATTATATGTATTAGAAGAATTATATATGGATAGTGGTTCCCAACGCTACCGTTAGGGTGCGTAGCCAATAAAGAATCTTCTCGCTGTCAACAGTAGTGTACGCAACCCTCAAATTTCATCGAGAACGACCAGGAAGCATACTTACCTGGCGTAGAGGTTACCGTGATCACTAAGGCGGTTCCTCCAGGGTGAGGCTCTTCCATTGCACTAAGGCTAGAGCTGACCTCTGCGAATGCCCCTAATGTGGGTATCTCGGACGTACAATTTTTGATAGTCGGGACTGCGTTCGCGCTCTCCCGGATAATCTGATATCTAAAATTAAACTTTCAGGAATATTCTTACCTATTTCGGGACATATAAAAATGGGACATATAGGTGGTGGTGTGTGTTGTTGTGTTCAAGTATTATTTGTCACCACTTATTTAAGTCCAAGTGTGGAATGTCTTGTTTTTTAGTTTGTATTTGTTGCAATTTTTAATAAGCTTGAAAATGGATTGTTTCATCTTCGTGTCCTTAAAAAGTAATTCATCCAATTTTAACTTCCTTCTTCTTTATATTATTGTTTCTCATTTCTCTTACAGATTTCCTTTTTATTCTATATAATCTCTTGTTCTTCTGTTTTACTACTCTGTCGGAATTAGGATGTGTCTCTTGTATATGTATGTAGCGTGGGCTATTGTACGGAGATGGTGCAGATTACAATAAAGAAGAGCCGTGAAACATCGAATGCTGCAGTAGATTTAATTTTTAGTCGGTAATATTGAATAGCATTATTTACATGAAAATTGTTATTTATTATACTACAATGTTATATTTTACATGTAAATTATTTATATTTAATTGAAAATAGCAGTAAAAATGCAGAATTGTTTAAACTAAAAACACATGAATACTGCAAGAAATGGTTTATATTTATATGTTAGAGAAATATAAATTACATTTTATCTTTGATATTGAATTCTTTGATTATTTTCCTTTTGCCCTTTTATATTTCATGCCTCATAATCATTATATTATCCAAGGAACTTATCACAGAAATAATGTTCTATAATTACTACCACATTGTATGTACAAAGCGATTAAATATTACCTTTGTGTCTCGTTTTGGAGCATAATGTCTAGGCACGTACATACGCCTAATAATGATTCCGTATTCAAATGAACATTCTGAATGTTAATTCACGTATTTGCGCCAGCAATAATAGACATCTAAATTATATACAATAGAACAGACTATAAGCTCCAAGAGATTCAGACGGTAACTTGTTATGCTATATACAGTTGAAGAAAATTAGTTGCAATTGCCTTTAATGTTTTTACTTTTTTCAGAAGCTTTAAATATTGATTTCTTTAATAAAACGTTACTTTTACATTTAATTTTCAATTAAACACACTATGTATCTTTAATAATATTCAACAATTCTGTTAAATTTTTCTAAGCAAATAAAATTGTTCATAAAGTCTATATGATCAAATATTGCTATATGTATATGTATGCAATTAATTATTATGTGCAAAGTTGTGCGAGATTTAAAATATTTACCAATTGAATCGAGAATATTATTTTTTACATTTTTGTTGTTAATATTTCTACATATTTTCAAAAACATGTTTTATGTTTTTTATATTTAATTATTCATAAGTTCTGATACTTATTTAAAATCTGATATTTATATAATATTTTTGTGCTACTAAGTTTGAATTTAATATTTTATTTCACTACAAATGA